CCTAGCTCCATATCAAATTGTTCTCTCTCCTGCTCTTGTTTGAACACCAACTACACTTTTTCCCATCTCAAGACCTGTTTCTGCAGGTCATTTCTTCTGGTCATTCTAGTAGTTCCAATTGGCCATTGCTAAACACCTATCCCAGAGTTGAACTCCATGCGACCTATTTATGGGACCTCGTTCCAATCTATCTTCAAAGCGGTTATCTGGTTGGAGAGAGAAAAATCACAAAAAAGTGTAGCTAAAAGATAATCTAGTCTTGTAAGGGGGTACCTATGAATGAATTTTGCGGGATTGGTACAAGAAACTCCAAGAACTGGTGCGAAAATTTGGAGTATTTCTGTTGTGCTAGGTCAACGGTCCACGGATTTTATTAATATAAGATTTTGAAAGACCCCTTCCCACCAGAACAAAACATTAACAATGACCAAAAGAAACTAGTTGGAGGACTAGCTATACAGTAGCTCTTTATCTACTTATATTTCTCATGGTCACAGTAGTCTATCACACTAGGTAATATAGTTGTCAGCACCAAAAAAATAGATTGAATTCTATGACTTGGGTCTTGAATACTGTTTCTTGCTATTTAAGTGTGACTTAGGGAAGCTATTAATTAAAGCGTTTAAGGTTCATCCTGACATTCATAGGTAATTGAAGTCTTAATCTTACACCTGAGAGAAAATTGAGAATAGTGCTACCTCAATATTCTGAAGTTTGGTTTGGAGCCGAGTGCTTTATCAAGATATGTCAACATTATCTCCACCCTTGTTGAGAATGTTCTCGTACTTTGGTATAGCTAGGGTGAGTTTGCAAAGCCCTCCCCTGTCCAGTGATCCATTGACCCAGTGAGGTTGGCTAGGCAAGGATTATTGGCTTCACTTTATGAAAATAAAACAAAAGTAGATATTAAGGGTGCACCTGAGTGTCAAACCCATTTTTTTGGACCCCTGCTTTCTCTAGCATATCTTGCTTTCTTGACCAGGGCAGCATTTGAGAGTGGGCTTCTAGGCAGATGAATTCAGTTGCAGTTTTCAGCTGTGGACTGCTGATGAAACTGGTTTTTATTTGTAGGTCTTCCCTGGGAGTAGGCTGGTGTGCTAGTTTGGGACCTTCTTCAGACTTCTGTTCAGTCTATAATACTGTACTGACTCTACAAAGCCCTCCTACTTCCCTGCATGAGCATTTCAAGGGCAAATTCATAAATAGTCATTTTCATGGCTTGTCATCATCTTGGACTGTGATCTGAGGATTCAGATTCTTGGTTTCTTAGATCAGCGCTGTCCAATAGAATATAATATGAGCTGCATGTGTAATTTTTAATTTCCTACTAGCCACGTTAAAAAAGTAAATAGAAGCAGGCAATATTAATTTTAATAATCTATTTTGTTTAACCCAACGTATCCAAAATAGCATCATTTCAACATGTAATCAATACACATATTATTAAAGAGAGAGTTTGCTTTATTTTGTTCTAAGTCTTTGAAATTCAATGTATATTTTACATCTACTTCACATCTCATTAGAACTATTCACATTTTAAGTGCTAGTAGCCATATATTGGAAAACACAGGTCTAGAAAATTCTTCCAGAAAAAGAATAAAGTGGGGAAATAAAGCAGCCCCCTTCTCTCTACTGACAATAAAGAATGAGTTGGGCAGTGACCCTTTTGCTCTGGCATTAATCATCATCATTCATTAATCCCACATTACCATAGATAACCTGTTCACATCATAGCAAAGTTAGCAGTATTACTCTCTAGTGGCCTAGAAGCTTCCAGAACTTGCAAAATGTTGGGTCGGACCATCCACACACACAGGCAGAGAAAACAGGCTATGATATGAGTGGGCAAAAAGGCTTATTTGTTCCAAAAATATGCTCATGTAGCCTGCTATACACCAGACACACCTTCCATTAAAATATTTTTTAACTAACATTTTTTTTTTCACACGTCTATTAAAATGTGCAGAAAGAAGACTAAGTCCTGCTGGGTCAGGGGAAGTAGGAAATACAACAGGCGTCCTCAAACTATGGCCAGCGGGCCACATGCCACCCACTGAGGACATTTATCGGGCTCTCTGGATGTTTTTGCTGCTGCTGCCTGTCCTGCTTAGCAGCTGACTGGTCCCGGGCCCACAGTGCGCACTCTCCAACGGTCTGAGGGACATTGAGCTGGACCCCTGTTTAAAAGGTTTGAGGACCCCTGAAGTACAAGCATGAAAAAGACACGGAGTGTGGTCCATTTCAAGCGAATTTGTTGAATTTGCTTGAAAAGTAGAGCCAGAGACCCTTTGAAAGTGGAAGAGGGTTGTTTTCATGGGGGAGGAGGAGAGAGGAGGCCAACGGGGACAGCTCCTTTGTTTGGCAAGCTGGGGAAATTTCCTGACGATGGGGAGGAGGAGCTTGAGGCATTAGACACCAGACTCTAGAGCCCAGTCCCTGGGGCTAGTGCTGAAAGGGGGGAGGGGCAAGAGTGAATACAACGAACACAAACTTTATCTCCTTCAGAGCTTTGCCCCTTCCTGGACAGGTATTAGATGCTAATATGATCAGGAAAATAAATACAACGCCTACATTTACATTGGGAAGGCAGTGGAGAGAAGTAGTTTAGGTCCGGAATTGAGAGTCAGGCAGCCCAGCCGTCTGTTTGACTTTGGGAAAGTGACTTAACCTCTCTGTGCCTCCCCCTCAGTTTCCTCCTAAGTAAAAAAAATGGTCCATTAATAGGATTTGATAAGATGGTATACGCATTTAAGAATAATGCCCGAGGCATGGGGTGCACTCAGTAAATGTCAGTAATTATTATTAGTTTTGCTCCCCTAATTTGTCATTAAAGTTTTACAAGACTCTTGACTCTCTATTTAGCAACCCAGATAAAAAAAGTAAACACATGCTAATGAGAATCTTCCTAAACTGGCCAAACTGGGGCAAAGAGATGAAAACGACTTGCCCAAGGGCTCAGAGGCTGCTCCTAAAATAGGGAGGCCACTGGAGGTGGTGACAGCGGATTTCCCCAGAGAAAAGGGCTTAACACACTCACCTGCTGGGACCTGAAGCCAGGCGGCAGTGCTTAACTCACGCTGTCATCTTGGGAAGCTACCTGATTTTTCTGAGCCTGCAGTTGTGCACCTGCCAAAGCTGTACGATAATAAACGTACCTAGAGTTGGTGAAACTCAATAGTGTGACGCATGAGAAATGCATCCTGTGGTCTGGGCTCAACAGAATCAGCCTCCCCATTTATTATTATTATTTTTTGAGACAGAGTCTCACTCTGTTGCCTGTGCTAGAGTGAGTGCCATGGCATCAGCCTCGCTCACAGCAAGCTCAACCTCCTGGGCTCAAGCGATCCTCCTGCCTCAGCCTCCCGAGTAGCTGGGACTACAGGCATGCACCACCATGCCCAGCTCATTTTTTCTATATATATTAGTTGGCCAATTAATTTCTTTCTATTTATAGTAGAGACGGGGTCTCTCACTCTTGCTCGGCTGTTTCAAATCCTGACCTCGGAGCAATCCTGCCGCCTTGGCCTCCCAGAGTGTTAGGATTACAGCAGCCTCCCCATTTATGACCATTATTACTACTATTGCTGTTGTTACAGCGGATCTCAGGCGGCACCAGGCCGTGCCTGTCCTGTCCGGGATGCTCTGAGGTGTGCTGGCTGCCACTCAGCCGGGGCGCTCGGTACCCTGCTGGCGCTTGGGAAACGCTTGTGGAATGAATACACGTCATCTGAGACGAAGAAGGGCTGCAGGCTCACTTGGCCTCCGACCTTAGGCCTTCTCCTCCTTCCAAAAGCTGGGGTCCGGGCTGGGCCTGGTGGCTCACGTCTGTCATCCCAGCACTCTGGGAGGCCGAGGTGGGAGATCGCTCGAGGTCAGGAGTTCAAAACCAGCCTGGAGCAAGAGGAAACCCCGTCTCTACTATAAATAGAAAGAAATTAATTGGCCAATAAAGATATTAGAAAAATTATCCGGCATGGGTGGCGCGATGCTGTAGTCCAGTATCAGGAGCTGAGGCAGGAGATCGTTGAGCCCAGGAGTTGGAGTTGCTGTGAGCGGAGGCTGATGCCAGGGCACTCACTCTGCTGACAACAGAGGAGATCTGTCTAACAAAACAAAAAAACCGGCCCCAGCGGCGCTGTCGCCAGGCGTGCGCCACTTGGCAGCCGGCTGCACCACCTCGCCGGAACCGGGAGCAGCCGCAGGCGCCCGCGGCCGACAAGCGCCCCCTCCCCATTACCCACACCCCCCACAAGCCCCGCGCGCCTTCGCCTCCTCCCTGCCGCACAACGTCGCCTGCGCCCCCCATCCGCCCGACCCTGCCCTCATCCGGCACCGCGCTCGCCGTCGCCTCCCCTGCAGGTCGTGCCCACCCGCGCCCCCCACCTCGACCCCTGAATCCCTACCACAGCCATCAAGCTCGGACTCACAGACTAAACGTGACTGACGATTAGCTCTAAACACCTGAGACATGTCGGCCAGTGCCACACCACAGAAATGAGCCCGAAAGAACTATGTCCCAGACCTCGCAGACCTCTAAGCCCCGACGCAGGCCCTCCCTTCT